CTGCTAGGCACTTTGCTGGTGCAGAATCCCAGGGGTTACCTCATCTAAGAGGAACCCGGGCCTGATTTACACACCTCTGGGGACAGGGAGTTCACTGGTTTCTAAGGCAGCTCCTCCCATGCGGGGCTGCCTGAGGCCTCTTCCCCTAGCCTCATGGCGCTTCCTGCCTCCCGTTGAGCGGCCTGGCCCTGCCCCAGCAGCCCCAGCACACATCTAAGCCTGAGCAGCCTTCCATCTGTTCTCCGGCTACAGGCCAGCCTGCCCCCCTCCGCCTTTCCCCAAGAACCTGAGTGAACGCTGGGGACTGTACATTGGACCATGTCACTCTCCTCCTTGGAGACCTGCCTTGCTGCCCTGTCGCCTCCAAGAGAGGCTGGCTCCTCACAGTGCATTCAGAGCCCTTCCTGTAGAAGCCCAGTGGGCTTCTGCTCATTCACCTCACCCCACCTGCCCGAGCCATTCCCTGGCCCCAAACTCTGGCCACACCCAGGGTCTCATTCTCAGAGTGGGCAGTGGACTGCCAAACCTCCAGGCCTTTGTCTGAAGGGGTCTTTCTGCAGGGGTACCCAAACCCCTTTCCTCAGTCTTTAGACCCAACTCAGACGTCCCCTCCTCTGGGACGGACGTCTTCCCTGCTGCCTTCTTCCCCCTGGGTGACAAGTCCCTTCCTGCTCCTTGCCCACTGCCCCCTTACTTCCACCCTGTGTTGTCAAAGATTGTTGGTGTGTCTGTCCCGTTTCCACGGGTGAGCTCCTGAGGCCAGTGGCCGGGCCTTGTTTACCCCAGATTCCAGCACCCAGCCCGGGCCAGGTGGGTGACAGGAGGCTCTCAGAAAACACTAGCTGAGGGGTGGCATGGCGGGGTCCCTGAGGAAACTGAGCACTTTCTATGCTCACACCACACTGCAGTCCTCGCTCCCATCCCTGCTGCTTCCCCCAGCCTCCTCAGAGCCCCCCTGTTGTCCACCTAAGGAGCACTAGACTGGAGTCAGCTTCCTGGATGGACTTGGGCAAGCTGCTTCCCTTCCTTGGGCTCAGTCTCCCCAACTGTGAACCAGGGTGGGGGCCCTGGAGTCCACCCTCTGACAGTTCCTCTCCCCTCAGATTCTTTCTCTTTCTCAGGCTATGAATAGTGCCTGCTTGGTGTCAGGAACCATGCTAGGTACTTCACATATACAATGCATGTACACAACAGGAGAAGCTTTATATAAAGCGTGCAGTGCGATGCCTGGCATATTGGAAGCTTCAAAATAGAAGCTGCTGTTATGCATAATTATTATCCTTAAAGCCGTCTAGTCTGGGACCATTTTACAGATGAGAAAACTAAGGCACCGAGAAGGGGACTGACCTGGTATGCCCGGTATGAATACTGCAGATACAGGCAAGACCCTTCCCTTATGGAAGGTACAATTTCCTGGGGAAGAGAGACTAAACACTCACATAAATGCATATATAAATCATAGCATGTGCTCTGGGGTACCAAGACAGAATCGGGGGGCTGTAAGACATACTTGGCCTTAGGTGACCCAGAAAGGGATGTTTCTCACTAATCTGATTAACTCCTTGCTGTCCCAGGCAGCTAGATAGTACCTGTCCAGACCACTTTAGGGCCTGGTGACCCGTAAGGAGGGGGCTGGATGCAGCCCCTGGGCACCCCCAACCCCAGGCTGGCTTTGCAATTCCCCTCACCCCCACCCCATCTCTTTGAAGACTGTCCCTTTACTACTGCCCTTTCTACCGAAGGATTCAGACACAAATTGTGCTTTAAATTCAATATCAGTCATTAATATTTCATGATTACAAAACGTTAAAGATAATGTCAGTGGAAGGAGCATCTGCATGGGCAGAATGGATGACTCAGAAGTTCGGGGAGAGGGGAGCCGGCATACTAAGTGGTTTGGGAGTCTTTGAGGTAATCTGGTATGACAGCCAGCAGCTCCTGGCTGAGTGCAGCATTCTCCGAGGCGCTCACAATGCTCCGCTGCTGTGTATAAATATTTCTCCTCTGATTCTTGTCACCTCATGTTTGTTACACCCAGAGCAGGAGGGTCTGCCATGACCCCGGGAGCATCCCACTTCTGAGGAAGCCAAATGGAAGCTGCAGTAGGAGGGTGGAGTGGGCAGACCCACTGGCATTGCCCTCGGGGCTCAGGTTGGCTGCTGGGGCGCAGGCCTGGTGCTGCATGGACTTGCTCTGTGACCGGGGGGCCATCAACGTCCCTCCTTGAGCCTCTATTTCCTCATTTGGGAAGTGAGGATAATAATTTAGTCCTTTTCTTACAGAGATGGCAAGAAGCTGGAGTGGGCGGATTATTTGTGACACTCCTGGCTTTGTGCCTGGCACCAAAGAAATATGACTTGAGGGGCATCTGGGTGAGAGCTGGGCTCTGGAGTCAGACAAGCAGGGGCTGGGAAGTTGGATAAATGACTTCACCTCTGAATCTCCGTTTCCTCATCCACACAGGGGGAATAAAGGCAGAATCAACACCTCTTAGGTGGGAAGGTTCAGTGAGCGCATCACTGTGAAGTGCCTGGCATGGAGTCCGTGCTTAATCAAGTGCACAAGGTCAAGATCAACAGATACCACTCACTGAGCATGTATTAAGGACTAGGCTAAGTTCTTGCCATGCACTATCCTACCTATTCCTCCCATCAGCACTGTTAAGAAGGAACCACTCATTTTCCCATTGATTAATGTCATGGGTGAGGGTTGGGCAGGGGTTGTAGGTTGTTGAGAAGGGTCTCTTGCCCACTGACTTGACTAGTCTTCCTTCAGAGACTCATCTCCTTCTGCATGGTTAGCTGCTGGAGGCTGATGGATGGGACGGGTGGGGCTCAGAGCAGAGAGTACCAGGAAAAGGGAACCCATGCAGCAGTGCTGTGGAGGGAACCAGCTGACTGGGTCCAAACCCCAGCTCTGCTGCTGCGTGTCCTTGGACCAGTCTCCTAGCCCTCTGAGTCTCAATTTTCCCCAGTAAAATGGGGGTTGATCTGTTCCTGATCACAGTTTAACAAACATATGTGCTAGAAAATGTCTACGCAAGAATATGTATTAGGTAAACACTGTAAATGTTTGTGGGGGAAAGTCTCCCCATAACATTCCTTCTCCTGTGAAGTGGCAGCATTAGAGACTTTGTACGCCATGCTAGCTGCTTTCTGAAAGAGAAAAGCACGGGGTAGAGGCACAATGCTTAACCCAGAAGGGGACTTGCTAGTGGTGGGATGTCAGGCAGTGGGACAGGCTAGTGGGGGAGAGGTGTTTGTGAGTTGGGAGGGGAGGCATCTCTGCCAGCTAGCCAGGCCAGTTCCCCCACCACCACAACCCCCGCTGCCCAGGGAGCAGGTTCAGGGAGGCCAGGAGGGGAGCTCTTTCCCCCCAGTCCAGCCACCACTTCCTCTCCAGCCACCTTTGTTATCTCCCTTTCATGCGGTGGAGGAGTGGATTCAAAGGCTTGGGAGCAGCAGGCACTGAGGTTTGAGCCAGCTTTGTATTTTCTTTTAAACTGAAGTTGAAAGAGACGAAGGGAACTTCAGCCTGGGGACTTCCTTGGCCGCCGAATGGGCTGGTGGGGCCTGCAAAGCGGGAGGGCGCCGGCAGGGGCAGGAGGAGGACGGCTGGCGGGAGAGCTGGCAGCGCCAGGAGGGACTTGGGGCTGAGGTGTGCAGAGGTGAGCTTAAATGTCACCTGCCGGAGGCTCAGAGACTCTGAGTCTTCCTGTGGTCGTACTGGCTTACTGGCAGCTCTCCTGGCCCCTGAGACCTTGAGAGCTGATGGGGCTGGGGAGGAGGGAGAAGGGGACGCGGGGAGTGGGGGAGGGCGCACTCTGCCAGCAGGTCCAAGCACTGTGGGAGCAGCATTGCTCTGGTTGTGGAGGAGGCCTGGGACGGCCCTCTCGCCTCTCCTGGCGCTCTGTGAATCCCTTGGCTCCTTGCCTCCAGGGCTTTACTTACCTGGACCCCATGTCTCAGGGCACCTCCTCTTTCCCAGCTCACACTCCTCCCCATCTGCACCAAACCACCTGTGTCTCTCCCTCTCTCTGTCCCAGAAACTCAGGCCAAGCACCTCGGAGTCATCCTTGACGCCTCTCCGCCTCCTGCCTCCATGCCGTCCTGCAGCGGGTCCTGCTGGATCTATCTTTAACCCATCTCCCGAAGCTGGCCCTTCTCACCCCTTCCGTGGCTGTACCTTGGGCCAGGCTACTGCCCTGTCTTCCTGGCACTATTGCATTTAGCCTCTAGGTGAGCCCCTGCTTTTCCCCTCCGCCCCCAGTGGATGCTCAGTGGAGCAGGCAGAGGTATCCTGTCAGGCAAGGTCCCTCCTTTCCTCACCCCGCACCCCCTGAGACTCCCACCTCATTGGAGTAAAAGTCCAAAGATCCCACACTGGCTAACCAGTCCGCCCCTCGCCAACCACACGGACCCCCTGCTGCTCCTCCCACAGGCCAGGCGAACTACCGTCTCAGGACCTCTGCCCTGGCTGCCCCTCTGCTTGGAACATTCTTCCCACGGCATGGGCATGCCTCCCTCACTTTGGTGAGACCTCTGGCGAAATGTCTCCTTCTCAGAATGGCCTTCCCCTGAGAGAAACAAAGCCCTCTTCCTCCCAGTCCCCTCCCCCTGCTTTCTTCTTTCCCTGTTGGTCTTTAGCAGGTAACATCACCTGACATATTATGCACACCCTTTCTCTCGGTTTGTCCACAGTCTAGCTCTCCCCTTTACTGTCTTGTTCAGGTGCTATCCCCAGCCTGTAAAATAGGGCTTGGTATGCAGTGGGTGCTCAATAAATGTTGAGAAAAGAAAGCCAGCCTCAAGACAGCCCTGCATTTGGTTTAGGATCCTTACTCGATTTCTGTTCCTGCCCATTAGCTTTTGCCTCCTCCACCCCGCCTTTTTTGCCCACCTTCTCAAGCTTTGCCCCGCGGTCCCAACCCCCAGGGCTGGGCCAGAGTGCCCAGCCTTTGCCCATGCCTCCCAGCCCAGATTTGCCTGTGCCCGGCTCACCCGCCTCCATGGCCAGCACTGTGATGTTGTGCCAGCCAGCCGTCTCGCGGTCCAGCCCCTTGCCTGTCACGATGGCGCCCGTGTCTGCATTGATATCAAAGATCTGGTCCAAATCCGAGTCGCGGTCAATGGCGTACCTGAGGGAGGCAGGGCGGGGCTGATCAACGGTGCCCTGGTGCCAGGTGGAGTCCGTGCCCTTGTCCCTCCACCACACCCCAAGAGGGACCACCTGCCTGGGAAACACAAAGAGCAGAGAAACCTTTCCAACAGAGAAGGAGTGGAAAGGGGTCTGGGTTTGCATCTCAACTGTGCTGGCCAACTGCTGTGTGACCACCAGAGATTCTCAACCTTTCTGAGCATCAGTTTCCTCTGCTGAGTAATGGGGCTGGTAGTTTGCACCCCATAGTTGTCCTGAGGGCTGGAGGTAGGCAGTCCCTGGAGCAGAGTTAGCACTCACTGGACATTTGATTCTTATCTTCCCATAAGAGGTGACCCCAGAACTAGGCTTGAGAAGGGGATAAGGCTGGCATTCCAGGCAGGGGGAACAGAAGGTACAAGGCAGGGCAGCTAAGACTTATTCAGGGAATGGCAAATGGTGCAAAGTTTTTAGAGCTGGGAAGTGGGGAGAGTTAGGTGCCAGAAGACACAGGGTGCAAAATTCAGGGGTTTGATGTGAACCAGGGAGCTAAGGGGAATTTTGAGCAGGAGATGGGGTGAGAGCTCTGGCCTTCTGAGGCTCCCCAGACCAGGGACACGTGCTGAGTGAATGTGGTGGAGAAAGGGTCTGGGGGGATGGCAGCCAGTCCCTCCCTGCCTGCGCAGCACGCGCAAGCTAATCTGTGGCTTTTCAGTTGCCGCGTGAAAAAGCCCTTTGTTCCGCCTTCTTCCCGGGCCTTTGTGCAGCGGCTCCAGGCCTGAAAGGCCCGTGTCCAACACATGTCTCGGGCGCCGGCCCAGAGAGGCCCCGCCAGCTCCAGCCGCCGCTTCCCCGCGCTGATAATGCGGGCGGGGCCACCGCTGGGCTGCGCGGCCCACAAAGGCCTGGAAGGCTCAGCAAGGGCTCATTGTGTGGAGGGGACAAAGCAGCTCGGTGGGGCGGGCTCAGCCCTAGCCACCCAGCCCCTCCCACAGACAGGAGGCAATCGGCCCTCCCCCACTTCCCAGGGTGGGAAACTGAGGAAGCCCAGGAGGTCAGGACACTGGAAACACCCCTGCTGGGGGTCCAAAGTCCGGCAAAGACCCTTCAGGGGGGCCTGCTCTGAATTACCTGAACTCCCCGCCTCAGATCTGTCATCTGTTGAATGGGGACAGTGACACCCAGTGGGACTGCCCAGGTCTGAGATCAGTCAGAGCTGGGTGTGAATCCTATGTTTATTCTGCCTGTGATCTGGACAAGGGGACTGGACCTCCCTAGCCTGTTTGCTTATCTGGAAAAGGAGATGATTTATACTCACCTCACACTGGCATGGGTTAGAGGAAGTAATTCATGGAACTGGGCATAGGTGACAGCACTTATTTTTTCATATTTACAACTGTAGTGGAGACGAAGGTTGTGGCAAACTGCTGGGGCTGAGTATATAGGAGTGTGGGCACTACAGCCAGTCTGAGTCCCAATTTAATGCTCCTTCCCAACCCTAAGCCGCTAAGCCCACATCCTCCTTGCCCCTGACCAGCCTGGGTCCTCCTGACCTAGTGAAAGCGTCTGGGCAGGTTCAGACCCAAAATGGTAATTCCTTCCGCGAGTATAACCCTTAAGAGTTTGCAGCTTGCCCTTCCTCTAACCGTCCCTCCATTCATTCCTTTATGCCTAGACACTGGGGGTCTTCTCGTGCTGCTCTGTGCTAGGCCCTGGGGATAACAGGGAAACAGGACAGATGAGGTCCCTGCCTGGCATCTGTGAGTTGTGATCTCCTATTTGGCAGATGAAGACACTGAGGCTTAGAGAGGAATCCTGTCAAGCTTAGGATTGCCAAGTATGGTGGTGCAGACTGTGTGCTGCTTAAAGGTACCAGGCTGAAGGGGCGCACAGGGCGGATGTCCAGGTGGTGTTCTGCTTGCCAAGCGTGTGTCCTAGCCCAAGTATCTTCTCAGAGGGGACTTTTTCTTACTTATGCAAAGGTGCCAGATGGGCTGGCAATGCCCCTGCCCGAGGCTGCACAGGGACTGTTCACAGAATTGGACTCTGTATCCAAATTTGGGACTTTACACCCAGAGTTCTTTCCAGCTCACTGAATCATCCAAAGCCTTCTGTGCCCTTTGCCCCTAACCTAGCCTGTCAGATGTTTGGGTCCAGAGGAGACAGAACCAGACTCTGAGAGTTTGCTCAGCTCCAAGGAGCCGTGGAGAGACCTCTTCCTGATTTTACCAGTGGGTGAAGAGCCCAGGAGAGGGCCAGGGCTGTGTGCAGGGCACAGCCAGGGGCCGTGGTCGCCTGGGTGGGGATGGGCACGAGGCAGGGCTGGTGGGAGGCTGCCCACAGCCATCTTCCTGCTTGTCCTCCCTCTCTGCTCAGCCCTCTCTTCTCCCTCCTTTCTCTCCTCCTCCCAGTTTTTCTCCTTTGTTTCCTCCTGGAAGGGAAGGGAGGGCTGGAACCTAAGTGGAGGCAGCTGTTCCCAAGGCCATGGGGTGGGGGTCGTGGGGGCCTGCGTGAACCAGCGGAAGACTCAGGGCTCAGGTCAGTGGGGCTGGCTGAGCACAGGTGGGTTTGTTCCAGCTCAGGGAGGCTGCAAGCAGGTGGGAAGGACAGGCAGGGAGCATGGCATGTGGCAAGGAGCGTGGCCTGGCGAGCATGGTTTATGTGTAGGAGCATGAGTTGTGTGTCTGGTTTGTTGTGGGAGGAAAGTGTGTTTGTGTGTGTGTGTGTGTGTGAGCTACTGCACTGCTGTGGGATGAGCAAGGCTTAAGAGGCAGTTGCTCTGCCCTGGGTCTGGGTCCAGGTCCGTGGTGATCCCACACAAGTCACTTGTCACTTCTATCTTTGTGCCTAGCCTTAAACAAAATGGAGGTGATAATCCCCCTTTCCAGCTGGGGGTAAGCTGCCTAGCTGAGCTCCAGGAAAGTTACACCATGGGTGAGAATTTTTATTCTAATTATTACTCAGCAATGTCTGGCAAGGGGTACATAGAAGTCCTTCCAACCCATGTGCTCTGTGTACCTGGGGGTGGGAGGTACTATTTATGGGTGTCACAGTACTGCCAATGGTCTGAGAAGGACAGGAGGCTGCTGTGGGTCTAGAAGGTTCTGCTCAAAGCTCACCATCCTGCTTCTCACTGAGTCATCCAGGACCTGGAGGGCAGGAAGGGTAGAAGAGTACAGTGAGAGAATGGGTATGTGTCAGCAAGTGTGTGTGGAGTGTGTGCGCGCATGCATGCAAGGGAGGCCCAGGAATGGTGGTCAGGAGTGCAGATCTGGGGCCCCAAAACTGAGTGGTTGGAGTGGGTGCAGTGATTTTCCCACAATTTTACAATTGAGCTGAGATTCAAAGCCAGGTGTTCTCTGATTCCAAAGCCTACGTAACTTTCTGCTGTACCTCACTGTGTAGTGCTAAGAGGAAATGAAGTGTTCACTCCCTCTGTCCCAGTATGGGCTTTCCTGTTTTTGATGTCCAAAGGAGCCTCACAAGGGGCTGGGGCTGGAAGGACTATGGCTGGGCTGATTAGCAGTCAGTCCCTCCGCAAGGCTGCCTAATCCAGAGACAGGCCCATCTAAGCACACTCCTTCCTCCCTGTGAGGCTTCCAAGGCTTCCCACTGCCTGAGGATGAAGACCCACTCCTTCACCTGGCATTCAAGGTCCTTCAGAGCCTGTCTCAAGGGCCCTTTTGTCCTCATATCCCAGCCCCCTGATGTGAGCTCAGCCAGCTGATGTCCCTGCTCCTGAGCTTTAACCCCCTGGTTCCACAGTTCTGTGCCTGTCATCTGGGCCTCACCATCACTACAATCTGGAACACATTCTCCCCATTCCAACCTCACCCTCTTTACCTTTGCTGGGGGGCTCTCTGGAGGAAGCCTATGCACATACCCTTACTTGATGCACAGAGTACTTTCCCCGCCTTGGAGCCCCCCAAGTCCCTGCCTCTGCCTGAGCCCACTCAGATTAAGATATGTCACTAGATACATTTACATGGAGGCCCAGCCTTCTGGTCTGCCCATGTCTGACTCATCTTTGCTCCTTAGGCACAGAAGAGGGTGCCCAACCACAAAGAGGGTAAGGAAGAGGCAGGAGTGAAATGGCAGGGGGCTGGACTCAAGGAGCCAGCAATAATGGATTACATCATTCCTTCCCCTTTCAAGCTGAGTGACGTTGGTGAGTCACTTCTCTGTGACCCTCAGTTTCTTCATCTGTAAAATGTATATAACACTTCTTGAGTGACAGATTCAACAGTATGAGTCACCTTCCACTCCCTCCAGTGCAGGGACTCAAAAATATCACTCTATATATCTGCATTCCTCTATTTCCCAGGTGCCTACTGTGCTAGGCAAAACCTCCCATGACACCACTTCATTTCTTCATTTCCAGGAACACACCGAGCTTGTTTCTGCCCCAGGACCTTTGCACTTGCTGTTCCCTCTATCTGGAATGCTGTTCCCTACTTCTTTGCATGGTTGGCTCTCTCCCTATTTATATGATCTCATTTGTCAACTCTTGACCACTCAATCAAAAGCAGCCCCTGGTCACCCCAATCCTCAATCCTCCTTATCCTATTACCCTGTTAATTTTCTTCATAGCTTTTGTCAGCAATGATCCCATGTTAACTATCTGTTGACTGTCTCCCCAAAGGAGAAGGCAAACTCCATGTAGGCAGAAACAGGTCTTATCACCACTGTTTTCCCTTTGCCTGGACCAGTGTAGACATGACTCAGTGTGTAGGTGTTGACTGGGTCCATGGCCCTTACAGTTCCAGAGGTGGGCTCTAAGCCAGACTCTGTGTAGTACATGTGGCCTGTGAGGACCCCTTCTCTGTCCCCCACAGCCCCTCATAGGTCTTCCATTCTCATGTTGTCTCCTATGGACTGGGCATGCTTCCCCGGCTCTGTGCTTGACCGAGTCACCTGGCTCAGGGCTGGGCACAGAGGGGGAGTGGGTAAATGTCTGTGTTGTAAAACTGGGCCTGTGGCAAACTCTTAAGTTCCTCCACATCTGAGGAGCCCCAGGGAAGCGGCCAGCAAAGAGAGATGAAGGAAGGTGAGAAGCCGGTTTCAAAGTTGGCCCTTTCAGTGCAGATAAAAGCAGGAGGAAAGGGAAACCAAAGGAGGGCGGAGGGAGAAGGCTGTGGAGAGCGATGCCAGAGAGCAAAGGAGCAGGCGGACGGGAGCACCGCCCTGAGCGGCAAGGACTCAGCCCCCTACTCCTGGTTCTTAACTCCTGGAGAGCCTGGGGACACCTCCTCCCCTTTCTGGGACTAAGTTTCCTGGCAAACCTGGGTGATAATGCCCTCTGGAAGAGGTCTGGGGCTGAGCCAGAGTCTGAGGGGGGATGTTTAAAGGCTGCACGACAGCCAGGGTGGAAGGGCTCTGGAGGCGTCAGAGGCAGTGGCAGTGAGGGTGCAGGCAGCCCAGGCATTCTGGACCTCTCGATGGGATCTAAGCTCCTCAGCCCTCCCTCCAAGCCCATCAGACTTCACTTTTGCTGCCTCATCTCCCTGAGTCCACTCTAGCCATGACAGCGTGCTCTTCCAGGCGCATCTACCACTCCTCTGCCTCTACCTGTCTGCACAAATTGTTCCTCTGCCTGGAATGCCCTTCCCCTCATATTTATACCTGACCAGATCCAGGTATCCAGCTCAGTTCCATTCTTGCCTCATCTAGGAAGTCTTTTCAGGCCCCTGAGGGGTTTCTCAGTCTGGAAGCCCCTGTGCAGTTAAGCAGGATGGCATCTTGTGTCCTCACCTAAGGCTGCCACTAAGGTTGCACAGGCTGTGCACTGTACAACTCTGAGAGCCATTCACACACATGATGATGGAAATGTTACCCATCTGAAACTGTGTAATGCAAAGGTCCTCAAATTAACTTCCCTTCCCCGCTCTCCAGTGCTCAGTGCAGAGTGAGGCACATGCTTGGCTCAGGAGCCCCTCATTGCCTATGTACAGAGGTTTTAGGGAGGAGGTGGGGAGCTCCAGATTCCCTTTCCCATTCATCTACTGATGGATTAGATGTCATTCCCCCACCGCCCTGCCCTCCTCTGGATCAGTTTCTGCTACAACCTCTCTTCCCTTCTCTTCTATCCGACCTCCTTCCACCCTGAGCCACAGTCAGGGATCCCCCAACCCCTGCAGCCCCCAAACCCTTCCAGGGACAACGCCAGTGCTGCAGCATCCCCTGCCCCTGCTCACCTGCCCCCTCCCTGCATCTGCTCCTATTCCTCTCCAAGTCTCCTCTCTGTTTCTACGTCACCGGGTAGGCCCCTTGGTCTCTCTGTTTTTCTTGTCCTCTTTCCACTGGCTCTTCTCCCTGCAATCTCTTCCTCTCATTGTTGGTCTCTGCATCTCTGCGAGTCTCACTCGTTTCTCAGCCTTTCTCTGTTTTTACATTTCATTAATTCACCAGGCAGTCAGTAAGTGTCCACCTAGCGCTGGGCATCAGGTGAGGCCCTGAGGGCACAGGGGTTACACAGAGACGTCAATCCCTACTTTCATGGCACTTATCTTTCAGTGGGAGAGACAAAGTAATCACAAGAGCAGTAGCCTGTTAATAATAAGGCTACCGAGAACCAAGTACAGTGAGGGAAGGGGCTATGAAGGACTGGGGCTGGGGGTTGGGGTGAGGTTGGAATTTTAGAAAGAGTGGTCAGGGAGGGCCTCACTGCAAGGATGACTCTTGAGCAAAGACCTGGAAGAAGCAAGAGGACCAGCCAGGGGGATATTAAGGGAAGAACATTCTGGGCAGAGGGATCAGCAGTTGCAAAGGCCCTGAGGCAGCGATGAGCTTGGTGCATTAGTGGAGCTCTGAGGAAGCCATCATGGCAGAGCAAAGCGAAGCAGGGAAGGGAGGGTAGTGGGAGAGAAGATGGGGGTTACAGTGAGGCCAGATCACGTGGTCTGGGGGTCATCATGGGAGCTTGGTTTTTATTCTCAAAGATGTATATGGAGAGCTTCGAGCAGAGGCGGCCATGCTCTGATCTAAATGGGCAGGAGGAGTCTTGCTCCTACGCTGATTCTAGGTTAAAGAGGGGTGGGGACAGAGGAGGCAAAGCAAAACCCAGGCAAGGGAAAATGGTGGCCTGGACAGGGGGTGGCAGTGGGGGTGGTGAGGTGCTGGATATGTTTTTTAGAGTGGAGATGACAGGACTGGCTCTGGATTGGAGGGAGGCATGAGAGAGACAGCAGTCCAGACTATCTCCACGTCTTTGACCTGAACAACCAGAAGGATGGAGTGCGCTTTTTGTTTGTTTTTGGTTTTGGTCGAGAGACTGGAGGTCAGTTCTGTCTGTGGGGTGTCTAGTGGGGATCCAAGGGGAGCTGTGACAGGGAGAGGTGGGCAAGAGGGTGGGATGGGGTCACAGGTATACGGACGGCCTGGCTGAGAGCACCCAAGGCATGAGTGGGGACCCAGGCCGAGCCCCATTCACGCTTCTGTGTCTGTTACACCTGGTTCTCCCTCCTTCTTGTATCTGTTTCCTTTATCTCAGAGCCCCATCTTATGTACACCTCCTCCGCCCCCATCTCCCCACAGTGTTGTCCACGGGCGCTGGCGGGATAGCAGGCAGCAGGCGTCGGCCCCGGGAGGGGGTCTCACCGGACGGGCCGGTTGGCGGCGTCGGGGTCCCGCGCCGTCACCACGCCGACCAGGGAGCCCACCTGCGCGTCCTCCTGCACCTCCAGGAGGCCGGAGGGCGGCTGGAACTCGGGGGGCTCGTCCACGTCGGTCACGGTCACGCGCACGATCGCCTGGTCGCGGAAAGTGCCCAGGTCAGCGAAGCGGGGGTCCACGAACTTGTTGAGGGCCTCCAGGACCACAGTGTGCACGGGCTGGGACTCAAAGTCCAGGTGCTGAGGGGAGGGAGCAGAGGGCCAGTGAGTGGGCTGGGGTCTGCTCAGGCCGTGACAGATGAAGTCAGGGAGGTAGGCCCAGAGAGGGTGGCCCTGGCCCAGGGCACATACTGACTCAGCGGAGGCAGGGGCTATACCAGGCAAGGGCTGGTAGAGACCCAGAACAACGCTTTCCAGGGGCCGGCGGAGAAAGTGAGGATCTGCGGGGGACAGTCCTGCCGAGGGACACAGGGCCCATTAGGCTAACCAATACTGACCCCGGGACTTCCAGCCTCCCAGCACAACATTTACAAAGCACTTACAACCTGCTAGTGCGGTTAAGATACTAACTCATCTAATTTTATAACATTCCCAAGAGGCTTGTATTATGGTCTCATTTTACACATGAGGAAATTGAGGCCAGAAGGTTCTATAAGCCCGCCAAGGTCACTTAGCAGTTAGTCACTGGCAGAGGCAGGATTCAAACCCAAGCAGTACGGCTCCCCATTTTGGGTCTGCTGCTGAGAGCTGTGTGTCTGTGGGCAACCTATTTAGCCTCTCTGGTGGGAGATTAAATGAGATCTTCCCTGATACACAAGCAGCAGCAACTAATGTTAAGTTAGGCCTGATGAGCCAGGCTGCCTAAGAGCTTTTCCTGGAAATCTGGATAAACCCAGGCTGAGCCTTGATTCTTATCAAGGAGTGCCAATGGGTGACTCTCCCACCATGAGCTCCGTGGAAGTTGCTGGCTCTGGCCTCCTAAAGATGATGCCTTACCGCAATGAGCAAAAGCAACGGTGGGGCTGCAGGCACTCAGCTGCGTGGTGGGGAAGCTATCTGAGTAACTTCCTGGAGGCCTGCCTTGTGCGTAGGGACCCTCGCTTCCTCCCCAGAACCCTCCACCCCCACCTTCTCCAGCAGGGAAACAGCCACCTCCTTCCTCTGTCCTGTTGCCTGGGAAATCAGGATGCAGGGAGGCAGGCGGGGACCTGGCCTGCATGTGAGCTGCGCAATGGGCTCTGGAGCCAGGTCATCAATCAGGCGTGGTCTCTGCTTCCCGAGCCAGGACTGACTCCACAGAGACACCTCAGGCGCCACTGCTGGAGCAGGCGGGAGGGGCCAGGCCAGGGGCATGAGAATGAAAGCTGTGCTGGAGTCCGGAGACTGGGCTTGGGGCCTTCTGCCGCTTTGTGATGCTGTCCCCCATCTGTGAAATGGGCTCATCTTAGAGGAGGGCAGATGGAGATGAGAAGACTGAAAACTACATAATGTCTAATAGGGTGGATTCTGGAGCCAGACTGCTTGGGCCCACATCCCTACTTGGCTCTGCGAGATGCGTGACCTTGGATGTGAATCACTGAACTTCTCAGGGACTCAGTTTCTCATCTATAAAATGGGCCATACATGGCATCTCAAAGGGTTGTAGCGATTGAACGAGTTAATACATGGGAAGCAGTTGAAGGGTGCCTAGCACATGGTAAACACTTTATTATAAGTATTAGCTATTATATTTTATCCTCTGGGAAGTAAGTAGCAGTTTTCTCTATCCTCAAACCTTCAAGGCCAGGCAGAGAATGGGTCATTATGTGCTTATTGAGTGAATGAAGGGATATCGGGGGCAAATGTTTCTGTGATCCCAGAAGGCAGAGCCTGGGCTGAAAGGAGCAGATTTAGGGAGTCAGCATCTGGCAGGATGGGAGGAGGAAATGCCGGACAATGGCGGTGAGTGAGCTCTCTGGGGAAGCCGCACCTTCTGCACTACGATGATGGCCTCCTGAGTGTCGCTGTCCGTGGTGACCTTGAACGCATGGCCACCGCTGCCGCTCTCATCCTTGAGGTGGTAAGTCATGTCTGTGTTCTCTCCCACGTCTGAGTCCTCGGCCTTCACTCGTCCCACGGCCGTGCCAATGGGGACTGACTCCTGAATGCTGAACTGGTACATCTCTGTAGGGGATATAGCTGTGAACAGGGATGGGGGACAGCCCCTATCCCAGCTTCGCCAGCTCTAGGGAAGAGGAAAGCGGGCCCAGATAGACTCCAGGGAGGGCAGTGTCTGCAAGAGGCCCCCACTTGGCCTGTACAGGTGCTGGGAGAGGCGTGTCCTCTGCAGAAATTCAGAGAGGAGGGTCCTAATTCTAACCCTGGGTTTATTTGCTGATTGATTTGGGAAAGTGCCTGCAGTTCTTTGGGCCTCAGTTTCCCCATAAGCCCAGTGAGAAGGATAGAGGAGCACAGTGATCAAGGCTAGGGTTCTAGAGTCAGTCCCAGCTGTGCAATCCTGGGCCTTGGTTTCCTCATCTGTAGACTGGGAATGATAATAGTGCCTGCCTATCAGCATTGTTATTATCACGACTAACTTAGATGATGATGCATGTAAAATGCTTAGTACAGTGCCTAGCACATGGTAGCTACTCAATAAATGGAACAAAGTGTATCACAATGGTAGGACTTCATGCTGATTTTTCTGTTTCTTCTGATGTTATTGATATTGATTCTTTCATTTCTGCATGTTTGCTGGGCACTTATGATGTTCTAGGTGCAGTTCTAGGCACGGGGTTACAGCAACAAGCAAAACAGACCAAAAACCCAGCTCTCACAGTGCTTTCCTCTTAGTGGAGAGAGAATGACACTCAATGATCACATCAGTTAAACATGCAGCACGTCAAGCCAATGGGGATTTTGGAGAAAAAGCAGTACCTATAAGGGTGTATGTGGGGGATTTTTAAAAGAGTGATCAAGAAAGGCCTTGCTGGAAAGATGACATTTTTGCAGAAGTCTGAGGGAGGTAAGGGAGTGAGCCAAGCAGATATTTGGGAAAGAGAATTTAAGACAGAGGAACAGCAGGTGCAAAGGCTCTGAGGTGGGCACAATGCCTGGCGTGTTTGAAGGATGGCAAGATGACCATTGTGGCCAGAGGGGAAACCACAGAAATGAGGTCAGATGGGGTGCAAACAGTACCCTGCTCTCCTTCCACAGTCAAGGTCGAGGTATGGGTGACTTGCTAGGTGAGAGCGATGCAGGAGCGGGGGCTGTGGAGATGGTGATGTGTCTCTCGGGGCCCCACAGGTATGGATACCCATCGTGTCGAATTACTGCCTCTGATTCCTTCTCACACAGCCACCAGGGGCTTTCCTAAAGCACAAGATGACTATGCCACTACTCCCCTTTGGTCCCTTCTATAGCTTCCCACTGCCCCGGGGTGGAGTTTTACAAGCCCACTGACCTGCCCTACAAGACGCTTGCTGCCTGGCCCCTGCTGACTTCTGCAGCCTCAGCCCCCAACCCTCACCCCAACTCTGGCTTCAGCTTGGCTGAAGTTCTTATAATTCATTAAATACTACTCGCTCTGTCTCACCGCCAGGTATTCCCTCTCTTTATCCTCACTTCTCACTCTTCCTCTAGACTGCTGAATGTTACCTCCTCCAGGAAACCTCCCCAGACAGACCGCCAGGCTCTGCTCCTGTGTGCCCAGAGCCCCTGAGCATGTCCCCTTGTAAGGCTTATGGCATTTCCCTATCATTTCCTGCTTATTCTCTCTCCTTCTCCCTTGTCCTCTCTCCCTTGCACCCCTCTCTCCCTGGGGTATGAGCTCCTGGAAGGCAGGAACCACATGTCTTATTCATCAGGCATCCTCAGTGCCTGGCAGAATACCAGACTGTGTGTAAGTGACTAGTGAGTGAATGAATGAAGAGCAGCAAGAGATATCAGTACACTCTCACCACATAGCCCAAATCAAAGAGTCTGACAATACCAAGTGTTGGTGAGGATATGGTACAACAGACGCATGCATTTATTCAGGGGGAAAACTGTTCAGCTTTATTTAGTGAAGTCGGAGACAAGTATACTCCATGAGCCAGCTATTCTACACTAGAATATATACATGGAAAATGCATATCCACACTAGAGAAATGAGTGCAGAATGGCACTAGGAGATGTGCAATAACACTCAAAGTTGTATCCTCCATAATAGCCTCAAACTGGGAACAACCAAATGTCCATCAGTAGGAGATCAATGAAGGAATCTTATACAGCAATGAAAAGGAATAAATTATATCTACAAGCTTTACTGTAATGTTAGGTCATGCATACATAGGTGAACTCAGCCTGAAGCAAGGAGGTGGTGATTACAAAAGCAGACAGACGGTGGTTTACTCTGGAGGAATGGGTGGGAGGAGCAGCTTTGATCAGGAAAGGGCATGCGGAGGGTTCTGGGGTCCTGGATGGTGGCTATAGGAGTAATTGCTTTATAATTATTTGTTGAATTAGGCATTTATATTTTTATATCCTCTGTTTACATGCTTTATTTCACAATCAAGAAATGTTAAAAATAAGGAAATAATGAATAAATGGATGACTAAACAAGTCTTCCTAGAGCCCTGGCTCTCTCTTCTCTGCTTTGCTCCATCCCTTCCAGCTCAGAGCCTGGCACAATTGGGCAGAAGACCGGGCAGTTCCCACTCCTCTACATGGTGCTTTGAAGCTTCCCCGTCAGTGGGCAGGGCTGGCTTGGGGGAGAGGGCTGGGGGCAGCTTCTGCCCTCCCACTCCGGCTCGGTGTCTGAGCTGAGGCACTAGGCCATGCCGCTGCTGCTGCTGCGCTCTCAGCTAAGGGATTGGATTCCCTTATCTCTCGGGGGTCAGTCCCCCGTGGTGGGGCCTAATGTGAGAGCAGCAGACCTCAAGTAATGACTAGCCTGATAGGGATCAGCCTGGCTCCCGGCATTTAGTCTCTGCCAGCTTCAGTGGCTTCCCCAGTATGGCCCTCGGCCTGAGCCAGGGACAGCAGGGCTGATGGGGAGGTGGGGGACAAAGCCGGGAGAACCACCGCCCTCCATCCCCTGCTGTGCCAGGAGAGGCAGAGAGTGGAAAGACCTCCTAATTCAGATACTCAGAATCCTGCCCCCCAGGCTCCCTGGAGGAGGGAAAGACCTGTCACTCCAGACCTCAGCTTTTCCGTGCAGTTATGGGTACCCTCAGCCTGGGTCTGCTGCAGCCTCTGTCTACAGCCCTCTGTCCCCCCATCTCCCTTCCCTTTGCAAGCTTGGGTCAGTGGCAGGTCATGTGCAGTAAGTGGAATAGGGGTGTGTGAGAAGGGCAGTGAGGGGCTGGGGTGGGAGGACAGATGGCGGCTCACCCTCGGCAGGAGATGAGGGGTGGGAAGGTAACTGGTTACTTGGATGTATGGAAAATCAACAACTTTATGGCCTTCCTCTACAAGAAGCATGATGGTAGTGGGGGTGACAGGAAGTGTTGGGTATAAGTGGGTGACTTGTGTATATAGACAGAAATATGGGAGCCCCTTTTGGTAGGAAGCTTAAAGGGAAAGGGAAGCTCAGGGTCAGTGAGTGGCTTGGAAGGATGAACAGACACCCACAGTGTTCCCCACCCCCACACAGAAGCCCAGTGGGATGGGGGTTGGGGGTCTAACAGACAGACACAAAGATGTGGCCATCTCCCTCTGAGAAGGCTTCACTCACTCTGCGGGAAACGGGGTGGGTTGTCGTTGACATCAGTCACCACGATGGTGACGGTGGTGGAGCCAGAAAGGCCACCCAGCTGGCCCGCCATATCTGTGGCCTGGATCACCACCTCATAGCGCTCCTGGCTCTCGCGGTCAAGGTCAGGCACAGCCGTCCGGATCACGCCTGTGGGTGAGTGAGGGTGAGGCCAGGGTTGGACCCAGGCTGCGGGCTGATACAGGGACCCCGCTCCAGGCAGAGGCTGCCCTCATTCAAGTTCAGGAGGGGAGCGCAGAAGACTGGGATCTGGTGATGGGCTCAGCAGTCGCCACATGATCACTCAGACACACACGTGCTCACACAGATATGCTCACACAGGTAATCACACGTGCTCAATACTCCACAGACTCCCACACCATTGTGCCCACACAAACATGCACTCACACACAATACTTTCTCACATGTACACAATTATCAGGTTCATACACACATACACTTTTAAATACATAATTTCCTGAACACTTATACACATACACACTCACATTTATACAGACATACTAACACATACTCACTTTCTGAACACCCACTCTCACACACACTCACACACACACACATGCATGCTCTCACACAAAATAACACGAAAGCAACAGAACAGATTAACTGGTTTACCAATGAGGCCTGGGGGCTAGAATTAGAACTCTGTGACCCTGCCCCCCACTGCAGCCAATCCCCCTTTTGGGGCCTCAGTTTCCCCATGTGAGGGAACCCTGATGTTCTCTGCATGAGCCTGGCTTGTGTCTGATTTGTCCCTGTCAGTGACACTCAGCCCACAGCCAGGCACGTAGCAGAAGCTGAGTGTTTCATACAGTGAAATGGACTCACACCCACACTGGTACACACTTACGTTGGAGTCAGACTTATTGCACATGCACAGGTACTACACACAGGAGAACTCACATAAGGTCACAAACATCTTAGTACATGCATAGCTACTAGCATACACTCATTTTTACACACATACCCCTCAACAGTTAAGTCCCCAGCCCTTGGGGCCTCTGCTCCCCAGGCCCCAGCCTTGCCCTGGATTCTCTGTCCAGGCCCCAGCCAATCACCCATCAGACAGTCCTTCAAGCTATTAATGGGAGAGGGGCAGAGGCAGCAGGAATGGGGGCGACTGCAAAACTAATTCTGCTGAGGGAAAAAGGCTGAGCTTGTCTCCCTGCCAGTGGGAAACTTGGGTGGCGGGGGGAGTTGATGAGCCATTCACAGCCCTCCCCGACTCCAACTTGCTGAGCACCAGGTGGTGACAGGTGGTGCCCGGGGCCTGAGCACCGGGTGGAGTCATGCACCAGCAGCCCCATGATGCGCCCCATAAAACCCAATCTCCAGCTCCTGATGTCCCCAAACAGCCCCCGGACTCCAATAAAGGCACTGGAACAGGAGGAGCGGTTGTAGTGTGTGCACGTGTGCATGCGCGTGCTGCTGAGGGAGCCATGGGTGGGGCGCCTAGGAGGTAGCCCTGCTTTTGCAGGATCACATGGAGATATGAATGTGTAGTCTGTCTAATTGAGAGTCAACCAGTCGCTCTGTAGCAGCCTTCCAGCCTCCTCAGCAGGCTCCCTCCTGACCCCTCCTCTGCCGAGACTGGTCTTCCCAAGGGTAGGGAAGTCTTGGAGGCAGGTGGACTTGTAGTAAATTCCAGATCTGTGATTTTTTGGCTATGTGTTCTTGATTAAATTCCTTCCTCTCTAAACCTCAGTTTCCTTATCTGTAAAATGGGACCACCACAATACCTCCCTAAAGAACAGGATTTCTCAACCTTGATACCACTGACATTTGGGACAGGAGAATTCTATCCACTGGATGCCAACAGCAGCACCCTCTCCACAATCCCAGTTCCAAAAATGTCTCCAGACATTGTCAAATGACCTCTAGGGGCAAATCAGTTGAGAAACTTGTTCAGAGTTTCATCTCATGAGAATTGCATGTGACAAGAATGACAGTAACTAACACTGATGGGCACTTACGCTGTGCCTGGTGCTGTTCTAAAGCACTGTCAATGAACTGCCTCATTTAATCCTCTCAATACCCATTGGAGGAAGGTGCTGTGATTATCCCATTTTACAGATGAGGAGCTGGAGGCACAGAGAGGAGAAGCACTTGCCCAAGGTCACACATGGAGAAAGCACACGGCCGGGATTCAAGCAGGCACTGTGGGGCCAGAGCCCACCCTATGAACTACCCCACTGGACCGCCGTAAGGATGGAGGGCCCCTGCCCAGTCCGCCCCTGCCTCACCCACCATCAGGTACAAGGGGAGAGCCCAGGCCGCGGACAGAACAATGCGACGCCACCTGTGTGGTCCTGTCTCAGTTCCTGGAATGTCCTCTTGCTGTCCTGGGTCCTAATCATGCAGCAGGCCCTCCCTGATCTGCTGCCCAGGTGCTGCCCTCATGGGGACTGAGCAGTGCCCTTCTGGGCGTGAGGGCAGGGCCCAGGCCTTAGCTGCCCTGTTAGCCTGGCCTTCGCAGCCCTGGACAGAGGGGTTGTCCTGGGAGGGTGGGCCTGCCGTGTCCTCGACCCTGGGGGGCTGGAAGGAGGGAAAGAGCAGAAGGGGAAGAGAGAAGCAAGGGAAGATGGAGGTGGTAGAGAGAGAAGAAGGGAAGAGGGGGCCTGGGGAAAGGGAGGGACCGAGGGAGACTGGGTGAGAGTCAGGAGGGAAGAGACAGGAGAACAAGAGAGAAGGGGAAGTGAGGGGTGGAAGGGGCGGGAGGCCTGAAGAGGTGGGAAAAGAGAAGAGAGGAGGGGAGTGGCAACACAGAGAGAGATGCACACCCAGGGGAGACAGAGAGACAGAGACCAGGGGAGAAATAAACCGAAAGAGCAATAAAGGAGGGAAGAAAAAGGCAAAGAATGACAGGGAATGGGCGCTTTCACAGACAACAGAGAGGCACAGACACTGAAGTGGAGAGGCAGAGACAGTGAGAGGAGGAGAGGCAGACAGACAGACTGACAATGCAGTGAGCCCATCTCAAAGGCGACGAGGAGGCTGACCACTTCCTGTAGGCTGAGCTGTGTGCCGGGCGCTTCACACCCAGGATCTCACTGAATGGAGAGGCTGGTGATGGGATCTGGGGCCTCTGTGCCTCCTTGGGCTTGTGTTCTAAAAGCTCAGTGACCTAGCTCTGAGTGAGGCTCGGAGCAAGGGCCTGGCTGAGGTCCACCCCTGTGGGACAGGAGCCATGCCCATGTGGCTGTCCTTGCTGTCCCTGCCACTTCCTGGGGATACGAAACTCTTCCCACTTGGAAGCTCATCACGAAGCCCTGGTGAGTATGTGATCAAGTGCCATCTCTGGGTAACCAGGGGGTGGGTAGCCAGAGCCAGGCTGCCTCGGGCCCCTGCCCTGGGATCACACCCAGTGATGGGTTGCTACGGTGATAGCTCCCAATGCAACACACCTGCTATATTTCCACACTCTTGGGTCATCGGTTCCCACACATCGGTTCCACACCTTGCCTCAGCCATGCAACTTGCTTTGGCCAGTGGGATATCAGCAAGTGTGACAAAAGCAGAGGCTTGCTAAGTCCTTGTGTGCTGGGGCTTGTCTTCTTGGAACCCTGCTGTGAGGACACCCAGGAAGAAAGGCTACCCTGAGGACAGGCCCAGCCGTGCTGGCCATCCTAGCTGACTGCCAGCTTGTGAATGTCACCACGTGAGTAACCCAGCAGAACTGCCCAGCCCACCCACAGTACTGTGATAAATAATAAATCATTGCTGTTTTAAGTCCCCACATTTTGGGACAGTTTGTTACACATGAGTGGCAGATGATACAGAAATCTAGCTCCCAGGCCCATTCTTATCCTGGAATCCCTCATGCAGCTGCACTTCGCTGGAGGGTCAGCCGGCTGGAAGGCCCAGGACGGCCTTATGCACATGTCTGGCAGTTGATCCTGGCTGTCAGCCAGACCTTTTCTCATCTTCCAGAAGGCTGGGCTGGCTTCTTTATGTGGTGGTCTCAGGACCACGATCCCAGAGAGAAGGGTGAAGACTACAAGGCTTCTTAAGGCCTGGACTGGGAATTTGCAGAATGTCACTTCCACTTCGTTCTATTGGGCAAAGCAAGTCACCAGGCGCCCAGGGGTAGGGAGCAGTCTCAGCCTCTCGGTGGGAGGAGTGGCAAACTCACTTTACTAAGAGGGATGGGAGGCACTGATGGCGTATTTGCTGCCTACCACATTCTCCTTCCCACCATCCCTTCCGAAGCTGGGAGATGCATCCTGAAGGCTGGTACACTTCCCTGGGGTCTGGGGAAACATTTCCAAATCAGCCCATGCAGTTGTTCTTCAAACCTTCTGGCTCTGTAAATTCATTCATTCACTCACTTGTTAGACTCTTGCTGAGGGCCTACCATGTGCAGGGGCTGGAGAGTCAGATATGAGGAAGTGGAAAAAAGAGGTGCCTCAGAGTCAGACAGGCAGGCTTGAATCTCCTTTCTACCATTTACATACTATCTGACCTTGGGCAAGTCCTTGAGTCTCTCTGAGCCTCAGTTTCTTATCCTATAACATGGGGATACCCAGCTGGCAGGGCTGTGAAGAAGATTAAATGAGACAAAGTTTTCTGCAGAAGATCTCACATTTTGGAGATGCCTCACTGACCCCTCTCCTCAAGTCCTGGGCTGGGTACCCCATAAATAAGCTCCACAAGGATGGAGATCCACACTGGCCCCGTTCGCCATCTTATCTATAGGGTCTGGCACACAGTAGGTGTTCAAGGAACATTTTGACTGCCTGACCCTCTGTCTCCCCTCTCACAGTCTGGGTGTAGCTGTCTGTTTGTTTCTGGTTTCTCTGTTGGAACAAAAGGCCTGTGAGGGCAGAAACCTGATGCAGCTGAGCATCCTGATGCACTCAGAAGGTGCTCATCAAAGATTAGTTTCACTGCCTCCCAGGAAAACAGACGTCTCTGGACCAGATGAGAATTTTCAGCAGCTATCTTGAAGTCTCTCTGAGAGAGTCTTCCTATTTTTGCGGGCTCAAAGCGGGTGGGGGCTTGTAATTAGAACCTGGCCACGGCTCCCCACATCCTTGTCCTCCCGCATTGCCCCCAGTTCCAGCTGTTGTCCTCACCACCCCCGTTGTCCCCTCCAAATTCTGCAGAAGGGGCCCTGGAGCCCGAGTGATGCCTCATTTACCCGCAAATGCCATCTCGTTGCCCCTGTGGGGGGCTTGCTGGCAGGCCTGGCCTTTAAAACACACAAGTTAATTCCTCCTCTGGCACTGGGCCTCGTGGCACCCTGCCTCCTCCCTTCGCTCACACCTTCCTCTCAGGCCCGTTCGGGCTCTGCTCCCTGCTATCTGCACAGCCAGAACAGACTGTACCTCGCAGCAGCTGCTAAATATAGACTTGCATCAGTGGAATATTCCTGGCTGGGGAAATGGAGCTGGGCTGGGAATGGCACCAAGGCGGCTCCTGCAGTGGGACTGAAGGAGGGGAGGAAAAATCTGGTCCTTCCTGGGCAATGACAGCAAGGACCCTTTCAGACATGGAAAGTTGAGGGACCCTAGAACAAGGACCACGGTTGCATTTCTGCACTTGCCTTGCCCAGGTTCACGTTCTGGCCTCGCGGGCACTCCAGGGCCTCCCCGACCCTTTGTGGTGGGGGATGCTCTTTATCAGAACCTGGCCATCCTCTCAACTCTCTTGAAGTCTGATCCTTCATCTGCCCACCCTGCCACCCCCAGACTCAGTCCTGGCCCCTCCCTTATTTCTGAGTTCTGTCTCTTCCTCCTCACCTGAAAGCTGATCAACTCTAAGGGCCCCACCTCCTCAGGCTGAATGAATTAGGCTTTGGTGGCAACAGTGTCCCCTTGGTTTACGTTTAAATACCAAGTATTGTGCTGAACATTTCACACACCCACTGTTCCCTTGGCCTGCATGCTCTCTCCTAGACTGAGTGGCTCACACCCTCACTTTATTTTCTGCCCAAGGTCACCTCCGCAGGAAGGCCTGTCCTCATCTCTCATCTAAGTCTGCCCTTTTACCCTGATTTATGTGTCTTCCTGGCACTCATTGCTACTTGATATTATGTTATACATTTACATAATTATTTCCTGTATTTGCTACTTGAATAAACACTCCATGAGGGTAGAGTCTTGGATTTGCCTCCTGCCACATGTCTAAGCCTAGAACAGAGCCAGGTACATAGTAGGAACTCAATGAAGACCTGTTGAATGAATGAAAGAACTCTACCATTGGGTCCTCACAATAGCTGTGTGAGATGGGTATTATTATCCCTCTGTACACATGGGGAAACCAAAGCTTAATGAGCCCTAACCATTTTCAGAGCTCCAGGCCATATTTCAGAGGGCCTGCTAGATGTTCTGGATGCTTCTTTCCTCCCCTTCTCTCACCTTAAAGTCAGTATGGTTAAAACTGAGTTAATTAGCTCTGCACCGGATCCAGGGCACATATGCTAATTCCTCTGCTCCTATAGTTTTCTTAATCCACGTTCCTCCTTCTCTTTCAGTAGATGGTGCCTCTTCCCATCCCTGACCCCAAGGTTAGGAACCCCTGAGTCCTGTACATTCATCCAGGGTGCTTGCCCTTTGCCGGACCTCACTGTTATCCCTCATTCTCCCTCCTCAGCATCTCAACTAAGCCTCACTACTAATCCTATGTCCTCTCTGGTGCCTTAACTAGATGAAACAGGCTAAGGAGTCTGGGTGGGTGCTGAGAAAGGGCACAGGCTTTGGCTTTTGTCCTTCAGGGCTCTCTGCTGGGTACTCCTGGCTCCCGTGTCTCCCTGAATTCCATCCCTGCCTCTGAGCCATGCTGTACAGCAGCAGCCTGAGGGATCTTGTTAAAATGAAAATCTGAGCATGTCACTTCCCTGCTTAAAAGTCATCAATGAACCCGCAGTATTGGCGAGGAGGAGGGGAAACAGGCACTCTCAGCTGTGGCTCTCAGAAGTGTAATCTGGTACATTTGGGCATTACCTATCCAGATTCCAAATGCACATGCTCTCTGACCCAGCTTTCCACTTCCCGAAAATTATCCTGCAGATACACTCACACAGGCACAAAATGATGTATGTATGAGGTTATTCACTGTAGCACTGTTGGTTGTAGCAAAAGATTGGGAACAGTGTAAGTGTCCATCAAGAGGGGACTGGTGAAATAAATTTTAGTGTAGCCACAACAGCTGTTAAATGAAGGAATGAGGAAGCTCTTTATGTACTGATACAGAATAATCTTCAAGATGTATTGTTAAGTGAAAAAGCAAGCAGTGTATATAGTGTGTGTTTATAGCTACCATTTGTAGAAAAAATAAAACAAATACATGTACCTATTTTCTTGAACATGCATAGAATAGAATAGCTCTGAAAAGATACACAAGAAAATGACATTGGTTGCCTTGGGGACACAAGATGGTGCCTTGGGGACACAAGTTGGCTAGGGGACTGGAAGGGGTAAAGAATTTCCACTAAATACCCATTTGGGCTCTTTGAATTTTGAACCTTGAAATGTGTTATTAATTTTAAAAAACTTAACATTTTTTTTCAAGTGAATGAGTCTCAGATCTCATAGGATATGTACAACAAGTGACTACCTTTGGGGCTACAATTACTGAAGACAGGATTGGGAAGCACTTTCTCTTTTTCTTTTTTTTTTAAAAACATTTCTTTAATGGTTGAATGTTTTCTAAAATGTATTGCTTTATCAAGGAGAAAAAAAATAACAGAGACATTATGTGTAAGAGAATGCAATTATAACTGTGCTCATAGACTGGAATCCTCAACATCCCCACCAACAAAACCAGACAAACGCACAAACAAAAACCAGTCCTCCCAGCCCCCACCCCACCGGCCCATTGTCCTTAGAATAAAATCCCAGCTCATCAGCCTGACTTATACTCGGCACAGTTGGGCCCCTGCCAGCCTCTCGGCTTCACATCTCCACCAGCCTGCTTCCCCAGTCCTGAGTTGCTTACAATTCCCCTCATGCCTCAGGCTGTTTTCGTTCTCCCAGTGTTGCCTGCACCATGCCCTCTGTCTGGACTGTCCTTCCCTGCATCTCCATTCAGCCAACACTTTCTTATCCTTCAGCAATCCACTGCTGCCCCCTCCACGCCCGTGCATGTGCCTGCCCTCTGCTCCCACCCGCCTGGGAGCCCCGTGATGGCATTTGATAAACATCTGTGATGTCTCATCTCCCACGCTCACACCTGTCCTGTCCCTCGGATCCCAGGGACAGAGAGCACCACTTTGGTTGGCATGGGCAGCCACTGCCAGCTGTGTGACCTCAGGGAGCCACTTCACTTCTCTGAGCTTCAGTCTCCTCTTTCTGTTCTTCCTGCCACTTTCACAAGGCCCCTCAGAGTTATAACCTCAGAGTGAGTGAAGTGGGGGGTGGGGGGTGGGGTGGAAGGGCTGCCCCATTATTTGGTGGTGGTGGAGTAGTGCAAATAAGCTCAGAAGCCGTGCTTCCCGAATAGTCTCTGTCCTTCCATTAGATCCTTAACAACTGCCATTTGAACAGAGCGTCACAGCTACTGAGAAACCGCACTTACCACCAACCCCTGTAAGCGCTGTGCCCATGCCTGCCTCAGTTTAACTCCAGGGACAAGGGGACCACTTAGTTCGGACCTCCCAAGTCCTTTCAGGAGCCCATGGTGGCCAGCTCCAGCCTTTGTGTTTTTCTGCCAGTTTTGCAAACGCCGCAACTGCCTCCCATTCTCTTCTGTTCCTCCGTACTTCCCTCTTCCTGTCTAGTTGCCCCTCCATCTCTCGGCCCTGGGGTCCCAGGAGCAAGCAAGTGCCTCCACGTCCTTTGTCCTACACTCTGCACATTGTGGAGAGAGGGCTGAGTGCTGACCTCGGCCACCACTCCTCCGTGGCCCTCCCGGCCCTCCTCTGATTCCACCCTAGGCCCGGCCCCTTGTGCCCCCAACCCTGCAGATCCTGGCCCCAGTCCTCACCGGTCTTGGAGTCCACAGTGAAGTGGTGCTCGCCATCCAGCACGCTGTACACCAGCCGAGCGCTGCTGCCATACGTGGGGTCATCGGCATCCGAGGCCATCACCTGCATCACCGATGTACCTGGGCCCAGGGTATCAAGCGAGACAAGGGTAACCTGGGGCCCCTGTGCTGTCCTCCCCACGGCTCTCCACCCGCATGGAAGCTGGGCGAGGAGAGCCAGCCTGGAGGTCACTGAAGTGAGTTCCCTCACAGCCCCCATCCTCACACCAAGACCAAACTGCTTCTAGGTCTGGGGCCTTCCTAGTGGCATGAGCATGACAATGAAGTCAGTTCTGGATGCAAGTCTCCCTCCCTTAGTACCCAGCTGTAGGACTCTGGCAAGTGGGGGCAGCCCTTCTCATTATTTCCTGTTCAAATAGGGGGTAATCCTAGTCTTTGGTTCATCAGATTGAGTGAATGCATTCTGAAACTCCGCAAATGGGCTCAGTCTCTCAATGGGTGGTGGTAATGGTCATTTTCACCAGTTATGGTCATCACAGTTAGTGCCAGGACTGGAAACCAGGCTCCTGGCTCACCAAGCAGTGCTCTTTCTACCCACCCCAGCCCCTCCGGATTTCTCAAGGGAATCCCATCTCCTTCCTTCCCACCCGCTGCACGGGGTGGGGGAGGGGCAGGCCAGAAAGGTAACCAAGTTCACTGGGGTTCAGAGGCCAGTGTCTTTGGCTCCAGAGCAGGAGAATGGCAGTGCCCAGCTTTCTCTTGGGGAAGTAGTTGGCTGTGGGCCCTGGTGCCCTTCTTGCCCCTCTCCTGGGTGCCCAGACAGTCCCCACCTCCAGACACACACACACTTGCATACACTTTTCCACATGCTCCACACGCTCTGCACGTAGGCTGCTGGGGAGAGTATAAATTGGATAAAAGTCCATCAAACAGTGGCAATTAAGTTATTGATTTTCGACGCTGCCTCATTAAACTGGGAGCTTCTCTCTGCCCGTCTCAGAGATGGCTCTAATTTGACATCATGTTCAATTTGACGAAAGCAGGGCTTGGGACGTGAGGCTGGACAGGGTGAGGGTGAGGGGAGGGTAGGGGTTGAGGGGAGGAGTAGGGGAGGGGTCAGGTGGAGGGGTGGACAAAGCTGTCTGAACCTTTCCAGAAAGAAAGGAGGGTGAGGGAGACCAAGAGGAGTGTCAGGGGCTCAGGACATGAGCTAAGGAGGTTGAGACCCAGACTCACTTCATGGAGATGCCCTCTTTTGGGTGCCCTGCTGGTGAGGGATGGGGCCCAGGCCTCCTGAGGTTCTGGGCGGGGCCCTCCTGGGGCTAGGTGGGCTCTCCGGGCCAGCAGGGCAGCTTGCTGGAAGACGCGGCCAGTTCACTGCCTGGCTAATGAGTGAGGCCCTGGAAGTGCTGCCGCAGCAATTCTGCTAAGCCCAGCCCACCACCCGCCTCTGCCGCCACCAGCCTGGGGCCCTCGATCATGCCAGACAGACACATGTATTTATTTTTCACTCTTTTGCATTTCTCATTTCCTCTCCATATCCCCCCTCCTAGCCTGAGCCTCCCAAACCGGTCCTGCAGTGCGCCTCTCTCTCTGGCAGCTTCAGCTTCATACCACCATGTCAGAGTTGCGTAGAAAAGCTACGGAAGCGTTTGGGCAAGCCCCCTTCCTCTTGATACTGGGTGCCCAGGTCTCCTACTCAGGGCCATGGCACAATCCCAGGTGCCTCCTCTTATACAGGGAGAGGAGATTGAGCACTACTACATGACCAGCTTCACCAACCACTTACATCCTTCATCTCTCAGCCTCAGAGCATCTCTGAGAGGCAGAGGGGGCCCCTCTAAATTATAGGTGAGAAAACAGGTCAGACAAGGAAAAGACTCAGCCAAGGGCACAGAGTGAGGAAGTGGTGGGATCTGAACTCAGGACTGAGTCCAAAGCCCTTCTAGACTCAGAGTTAATACAGGCACAGCAACTCTAAGGATGGTGGCCCAGTGTACAAAACCACAGTCTGTGTTGACTCTGCCACTTATCAGTGGTTTGACCTTGGGTGTGTCACGAACCTTCTCGTGCCTCAGTTTTCATTTATGAAAGTAGAGAGATAGTACTACCAAACTCCTAGCATCATGTCTTGAGAATTCAAATAGGTTTCCACATTCAGCACTGAGGACAGCGTCTGGCCCACAACAAGAACTCAATAAACTCAGGTTATTGTGCTGTCTCGGGAGGCGCTGCGTGCCAGGCTACAACGACGCAATCACGCCTCCCAACAGACATACTGAAATGGGAGAAGATACATAAAGCTTTGGGCTCAGGGCGGGTGGTCAATAAATAGTGGCTGTTGTTAAGTGTGATGAGAGAGGGTCTCCCTGTTACACCCCTCTGCAATTTCCTCCCACCCCCTGGGCAAGGCACATTGCTGGGCTGAGTGACACCCCAGGGGATACGCCTGAGTTCTCTCTCTCTCCCTCTCTTTCTCTCTCTCTCTCCCTGGCTGCATCCCAGGGACTCCCGCGGGGATGATGGAATCATTTCCCCAATCCAGGATTCTTTATTGCAGCCATTACAGTTAATGCCGACACGTGGGGATGGTGAAGGGTCAGTGATTCACCACTGGTTCCCCAGGCTACACACTCCCTCCCACCTTCTTCACAAGTCAGTCACTCCCTGGAATTGGTAGACAAAAGGGTGCCAGGCTTGTGGCTGCTGTGGGACCACCTGGGAGTCATCCCTTCTAGGTTCTGCAGTTTGTTTTTTACAGTGTGCCATCCTGTCCTTTCTCTCCTTCAGCCCTCACACATTCTATGATGTAGATGCAGTCGTGCACTGGTAAATGTTTAACCATCGGCTCCAGGTGGGAGTGGGGGTGGGGGTGGGGAGGAATGTCCTGCTTAGTAGTCTTTGCTGATTTCCACGGTGTTAATACTCCCAACCATGGGCAATTTCAAGCTATCAACTGGATAAAAGTGGCTCACAGAACTCCTGAAGATCAATCTTGGGATCTCGCAAGCTAGTGGGAGCTGACTCCAGTATAATCCTGCATCATTCCCATTTTTCAGATGAGGAAACAGCTATGCACAGTGAAGGGTGAAAATGTGAACTAATAATGAGTAATAATGAAACCCATTGTTAGATATCATTTTTCAATGATAATGATAGATTACATTTATTAAATACTTTGTGCTAGATACTCTAATAAGCCCTTTATGTGTATTACCTCATGGAATTTACACAATAAAGCCCTGAAGCAAGCTCTATTGAAATTTCCACCTTACAGATGAGGAGGCTGGGTGAAATAACGAATGAACCTCTTTGTGCCTCAATTTCCTCATTTATGAAATGAGGGTAACAGTACTGCCAAAGCCTCAGGATTGTTGTGAGAATGCAGATTTCCGTGTTCAGGACCAAGGACAGTGCCTGGCCACGGTCACCTGGCAAGGAATAGGAGACTGCAGAATTTAAATCCAGGTTGATCTGATGTCAAAACGCATATGCATCCTACTTTACACAGTAGGGGGAGGGGGATCTATAGGAGTAGAATAGACAGGTAAGTAAGAGAATGAAGAGCCCGAGAAAGGGGAAGGAAGGGAGAGTGGGGAATGGCAAAGAGTTGCTTTCTGGGCTCTCCCTCTCCAAAAGTTGGTTCCAGCCCTTCCAGAACAGGACTGGGATTGGCTAGGATCATCCGTTTGCTATCCATGGTGCTGCTAACCAGCCTTCTACTACATGAGGTTAAGGGCCTATATCGAGGCTCATACAGGAAGGGTTGCCCAAATGATTTTTGGGTAAACAGGATCTCAGAGCCCAGAGCTCCATGTGGAATGTTAGATATGGAAAGGCTGCTCCTTGGAGAGCACAGAAACCAGTGGTTCCCAACCTGGCTGCACATTAGAGTCTCTTAGGAGCTTTAAAATAAAACTAATGCTGAGCTCCAACCCAGAACAATTGAATAAAATTCTCTTGGGGGTGGAGTGCAGTAGAGGGCATTTTTAAAAGTTCCCACTGTGATTCTTAAGTGCATCCCAGGCTAAATACTTGACCCAACCCCTGATTGAACTGATGAGGAAACTGAGTCACAAAGAGGCTCAATGACTCTCCCAAGGTTACATCATTATTAAGTGGTAGGGAAAGAGCCAAACCCAGGTCTGTGTAGCTGTCGCCCTCCTGGACTCACTGTGCCTGTACTGAGAACAATACCCTGCAGGACACAGCAAGGATGGCACGTACCGCCAAGTCAGCCGTGCTCCTCCCAGGCAAAACCAGCAAGGGAAGCCAGCCGCCGCTACGAGCAGATGTGCCTTGCAACTCCATGGAGACGCACGGAGCTCTGGCCTCAGAAAATCTTGGGTTCAAATCCTACTACTTCCTCACTCTATGTCCTCAGTCAAAGATTCCCCCTGTCTGAACTGTTTCTCGCCTGTAATTTAGAGGGGTTCCCCCTGTCCCTCAGAGCTGCTGTGAGCATCTGAGATGATGGATTTAAGTGGATGGCAAATCTGGGCATGTAGCAATTCTCGATAGGAGTATATTCTTTTCTCCTCTCTCAGTATGGTCAGAAGATCTCTGGGGCCATGTCCTTGGCATGGATCTCCAGGGTCGGAGGTGCCTGGCCTCCTAGTATAAGGGGGGAGCGACAATGCTCATCTCTCATCTCCGGTTTATCTGGGTGGTGTCAACAGGGCGGTTCACGGAGCCAGAACTGGAACCCAGGCCAGAATTCTTTCCTTTCTTGTCCCTTAACCCTTGCTACGTGTGAGATCCACTTGAAGCCCAAACTTGGACTCCAGAAATCCCAGGAGGAGCCCAGCTGGCTTGGGGAGGAGTGGAGCTCAGGGAGGGAAGACATCAGTTCTCGCCTCACCCTCTCCTGGGCTGCGTGGATGTGGGAAAGCCACCTGACCTGACTGGGCCTCAGTTCCCCTTCTGTGAACTGGAGATAACATTTTCTCCTTCCTGGCTCCCTGGGTGAGGGAGATTCCTTAATGAGATGAAAGAGATGAAGCACTTTGGAAAAGAGCAGAGTCCTCAACAGAGGTGACCAAGTGTCATTATTATGAAGATGTTTGTAATTATTATCATCCTGCCACTTCCCTACCTCCCTTTGCTACCCTGCTGGGCCT